AAGCAGGTGTCCATGCCACAAACCTGGGAGTCACTCTTAACTCCTGACCTCTTCATCCCACCTCCAAACAGGTATCATATCCTGCCTATTTCACTTCATTAGTATCTGTGTATCTGTCCCCTCCTTTCTCTGCTTTAGTGCAGGCCTTCATTGTCTCTTAGCTGGATTACTACACCCATCTCTGTATTAGTTTTCCAACCTCTAATCTCATCTTCTTTAATACCTCACCCACCAATGAAGTGATAACCTAAACTCAAATTTGATCATGTTAGTCCCTTATTTACAACATTTCGTTCATTCCAAGCATACCCTTTTGTTTCTTCTTCCATGCTCTTTGCCTGGAATTCTTGCTTTACCTCATCTTGTTAGTTTGCTAAGCTACTAATACTCTTCCAACAGCCAGTTCAGCAATGTCTCTCCTTGGTGAGGTCCTCCCTGACAAGTTGGTAAGAGCTCTTATTGCTTTCCTTTGGTCTTACTGGGCCTAGTTCTTACTTTTCTTACATTGTTCACTATCCTATAATGCCTCAATCTGTGCCAAACTGTGAAAAATTCTGTTACTGGGCCTTGCACAAAGCCTAGTGGAGAGTAGGTTCTTCCTTAGTGTTTGTTGGATGAAGAAGTGAGTAGCAAGGGGCTAAAGGCCTAAGCAAATCTGATCCTTAGTTTGCAATATAAGAAGGAGGAAGTATGCCTCTCCTCAGGGGCCTGAGGAATACTGCTGGGTCACAAGCCACATGGACTCACTATAAGAATCCACCCGTAAATTGAAATGTCATCTGACTATAAGGAGACAATTCAAGGTACATACATGTAGGTCAATTTTCTATAGCAGCTATTTGCTATCTTTATAATGGTCACTCTTCTTCAGGAGCCATGATGGTACACTCACTGAATTAATGCCCAGTCCTGACCATCTCCACCCAGGAGGCAGTAAGAGTCTGAAATTCCTTTCCAAGCTCATGTACTCGAAGGGTCAGAACCTTGACATTCTTCACCTTCTCTTAAGGGGAGTGTCACTCTTTCTCAGGAAACACCTCCATTGATATTCACTCTTTACTGACATGTATCTAAAAAACCCTATTGTAGCCATTTGAGTCCATCCTTCTCCTGGCCATCTATAGGAGAGATCTCACTTGTCTCTGTATCCTTCAAATACCTGGAACTGTGTAGATACATAGCTAATGCTCATAAACTAAAGAGTTAACAACAGATAACGTGGTTTTAGTGAGGCCAGACTAGCATTTCTCTCAAGTGTGCAGAATCCGTCTGGTGCCATATGCCATTCTTTAAGTTTCTTTTGCCTCTGAGAGTACAGGAGGCAGGGTGATGCCTGATACAATTAAGTGCTTAAAAGCTCCATTTGTTTTTCTTGCAACAAATTTCCTCCTCTCCAATTGCTACCAAAGAGAAGATACAGACTGTGCAGCTGCACCAACCAGCCGAGCAGACAATAAGGCCAGAGAGCCTATCCCTGTTACTCACAAACAAAAGCCCAGACTTTACCCGACTGTTCCACAGAAAGTCTTGAGCTGTTGGGAGCATCTCTAGATCAGTGAGGTGTATGGCTCAGACTCAGAGTTGACACACCACTGTGCCCATCCCTGGCAGTTTCTTTGGGAGTATCTGTGCTCAGAAACACTCGGGATTGACTGGGAGATAAGACAACAGCAGGAATGAAGCCCAATGGATAGATCTCTAAGAGCTCTCATTTCTTTCATAAGGAGACCCTGGGGAGCTCTCTCAGGGACAGGCCCAGGCCTGGTTCAGCTGCTGAGATGCAGCCAGGCCAATTAAATAATTGGTGTCATAAGAAAAGGAGGAAAGCCATTCCCTATAGGCAAACTCCCACTCCAGACAGGAGGTTCCATGCAGCTGTGACAGCAACAGCAGCAATAATAGGGCAGAGATCTCTTCCTCTTCCTCCCACTAGCTGAGAACTAAGGCTTAATTAGCACCTTGGAAACACCCAGATATCCTGGCGGTGCCTTCTCTCCCAGCTTCTGCCACTCCCCCAGGCCTCCTTTCCAAGCTTGAGTTTCTCTTTCAAGTAAATAATTTTTTAAAAAATATGTGCTCCCCCATAGAATTTATCTTTCTAAGTAAGGAATGGCCTCTAGATCCTTTCCACTAGTATGATCTGGAGAGGGTTATTTGATGATGGAGTCCATGTAACATGCCTCTATCCATATGGCATGGTTGACAAAGGGGTAGTACTGATAGCAGCATTACCCTATTACCTTATAGCAGCATTACCCTATTACCTTGGGGCTTAAGGAGGCAGCTCCTGTTGCCATCAGGGGGCCTTACACTGAAGGAGTAAGGAAATAAACTTTTTATGAAAAGTTTATTTTTTATGAAAAAGTAAAACTTTCTATGTGAGCTATAGGAGGACAGCATTACATCTGTGTCTGTTTAGCCAATCACTGTTTTCCTGATACTTACTGTAGTATCTGGGATAGAGCAGATGCTCAATAATTATCTGGTGAATCAATCTGCCAAATCAATGGTATCAGGTCTCTATATAGTCTTTGGAAGGTGGAGTGGGGAGCTATTGTTTGTTCAAACTTTAAATAGTTTGTCTTCATAAATGAGAAAATAGTCTGGGAAAGAAGAGAGAACCTAGAGGTTTCAATAAATAATTGCAAAAATGAAACAGGTCACAGTTGAGTCTGAGCCTAGGATCTTAGTTTTCATTATCTACCCAAATACCCCAAAGAGTCATTTTTCTCTCTCTTCTGCCTTTTACCTCTATAGTATGCTACCTTGATTCCTTATGCCCCCCCACAAAAGATTCCTGGAGAAATATCACACAAGATTCTACTGGTCTCAACAATACACAAGACATTTAAAGAGTTTTAGGGTACCTCTAGACTACAGCCTGGGGACAGTGTCAAGAAGTAGGGCAATGCATATGACCCCCAAATGGGGGGTGACTATATTGATGTTTCCACAAGGCTCTAATTCAACCTGTACAAAGTATTCTCTTGTGGACAAGGGCTACTTTAGCCCTTGTGAAAAAATGTCTGAAGGACAGCTTTTCTAAGTGCTTCTTTGCCATAAGCACTTCTATTCCAGGGCCACACAGACCAGAAAGAGTTTGGGAATCCTCTACTCAGCCAAACCACTATGCAGAACTTCAGGCAATAACAGAGGCATCAAAGAGAACTAACAGAGCCTGATGGTCCTATTCCTTCCTATTCTCCTTTTCTGGATAGTTATTGCCTCCCTTCTTAGGAACTCCAGAAAGGAGATGAGAACTAACTCATCCCTTTCTTCTCCTGACTCACTTGAACCTCCTTCTCCTCCTCCTTCATCTACTACCCTTTTTGGTTCTTGATTAGATGTTGGTACAGGCAACAATCTAGGGCACTCTAGTGTAACAAGCAAGTTTGGCTGGAAAGAGAATCCAGAAAGGAAAGTTCTCTTTAACTATCCCAAAGTCCTTCTTTAAGTTCATGGCATGGATTTCTCTCCAGGATTTTCTGGCTTCCAGATAACTCAATGATGACATCAGGCTAAGAAAAAGTCTTGGAGCATCTCTCTCTCCAGTTTAATACTGTGCACTTCTATAAAGCTTCTTTGTTTTGTTTCTAGAACTACGTAGTCACAAAAGGGGGGAAAGTCATTTATTTCCTTCTAGGTGGTTACTAATGATTCTCTCTATAATTTTCCAAAAGGTATAGGATAGAGGCCATGGTGGGTCTTTGCCAAGGTCCATGGTGGCTGCTGTAATGAGCAGGCTACTTGCACAGGAAGTCACAAAGTATCTCTCAGACAGGAGCTGTGGGGTCAAGAGTAGAGCCTGTTCCTGGCCACCCCACCTAACACAGAGGGAGGAGACTTAGGGAGCTCCAAAGCTTCAGAACTTGGGGAGTTCAGCTCCAGTAGAGCTCAAAGAAGAAAGCATCCACACTTTCAGGTTCCTAACCCACTCTGCCTCCTTCCAATTCTGCTCTCCTACTCCAAAGGAAAAATGCGAACAGAACCTGAGTGCTCCCTTCCCTTCCCCCTCTCTCTATACCAGCTGACTAGGCCTCCCGCGCCTCCTATCCTGTCGCCAGGCAGACAAGCGACTTAGGTTGCCCCCCGGGGAGGTGGCCAGCGGGCATATTCTCCCTTAGGCCTACCTAGCCTTGGTGCACAACGTCGCCCTCCCCTCCTTGCCGGCAGCGATGACATCATTTCTCCCTGACTCTGGGACCGCTGACAGGCGGCAGGATCCGCGCCCAGCAAAGGACTCCAAGCACGTAGGCCTCGGCTGATGGGGGCTCTTCCGAACTGGTGGACACATGAGGCTCCAGAGCGGCCCCACCTCCTCTCCCGTCTGTTCTCTAGCGCTTACATCTGCACCCATTTCTCTATCTCGCTGCCGCGCACTGTCCTTCTGGGTCCAGATACCCACAGTCTGGAACGCCTGCGCTTCCTCCAGAAAAGAACGGAATTCCCAGGTCCTACACAGACACCGTGCCCTCCACGAGTACCTGGATCTGGTTTGGCGTTCCTATCCATACCCAGCGGACAGGCGAGCAGGCCCCTCCTTTTCTAAAATCCTATTTCCAATCTCTCTTAGCTTGACTGCTCCCCGCCCTAAGCATCACAGGCCTCTAGGCTAAATGCTTCCCTGTCTCCTATCAGCCCCCGTGGGCTTCCTTGGCTGCCTGAGGTGCCCCATAACAGCTCTCTTGCCATTTCCTGGTATGGGCCTCCGCCGGCGGTGTGCACCATTGTGCCCCCCACCTTTCCACTGGACGGATCTCTTCCTCCGCCGACAGCGCCCTCCGCCCTTACAGATTCCTTTGCTCTCACCCCGTGTATTTTCCCACGGCTTTCCTGTCCTACAAGTCCTCCTCACTTGCCAATGCGTTTTCAGAGCTCTCTTTACCCCATTCCCCATTCGATGGCGCCCCCTCAGCACAATCCCTACGGCCAGATTCCCTCCCTCCCCCTCAAGCGGCGCCTCCTCCAGGCCCTGGCCTGCCCGCCGCCCGCCCCCTCACCAGCGGCTGCATCTCCGAGTGCGCGGTGGGCACCTGGAACCGGTCGATCTCCTCCATCATGGTGCCGGCGGGCGAGCGGGCCAGGGGCCGGGCGCGGCCGGGGACGCCAATGGGACCGCGCGGGGCGGCGGCCCCAGGAGCCCTGCGGGTAGTGCAGAGTAGGCCGCCCTGGACCAGGCGTCTGGGCAGGCGGCCGGGCGGTCGGAGGGGTGGGCGGAGGGGCGAGAGGTTCGCAGGGTGGCTGAGGCCGGCGTGGCTCCGTGGGCTTCCTTGGCGCTACCGCGGCTATGGCCGATCAGAGGCGCCGGTCTCGCCTCGCCTCCTACTCCGCCGCCGCCTCCTGTCAGCAGCTCAGCCACTGCGGTGACTCGGCAACTCCACTTCCGGGTCCGGGACACCGCCCGGATTCTGCATTATACATGAGGAGGCGGTGCCTGGGCGCCCCAGCCCTTCCCACAAGCCGGAGACCCGAACGCAGGCGGCAATGGGTGGTATTATCCTGAGGGGAGGGGCTTAGTGGAGACTGAATCACCGCGCGCCCAGCCCCGCCTCCTCGCCAGGATGGCTGGAAGCGCCTGCGCCTGGGCTGCCGGTCGGTTGCTGGGTAACCGCGTCAGGGAGGAGTTGACTCTATACCGCAAGGGCAAGGGGACCCACCACGACGGCTGTCCCCAAAGAACCCCTGCGACTGGGAATTGAAGTGGAAGAGAGTTCAAATTTCCTGTGCGTGGTCGAGCAGACGGACATATTTCTTGTCCTCAGGCGAGGGAGCGTTTTACGTGCTCTCCAGGGTTGAGATTTCTGCTTCCGCGAAGATGCCCCCTAAACAGACTCGTAGGCAGGTAACGCACGGCCCCACCTGCCCTGTCCTGTTGACCTTTGACCTTCGCCGCCATTATTATGACCATTGATAATACTTCTACTGATATTTGATGTTTTCTCTGTTGAACCCCAACCTCTGTCTCTTGTGACCTCTGGCCTCCATACTCACTGACCTGTGACTCTGAACTGCTCTCCCTCACTGATCCTGGCTCCATCTCCCATACTACCTCTAACCCTCTGTTTCTTACCTCTTTCTTACTCATCTTCCCTCAGCACTCCCATCCCCTCATTCCACTTGCTCCACATAATGCCCCCCAGGCCCACTCCCACCAGTTCCATTACTCATTGCCCTCATGGTTGTTCCTAAGGAGCTGTTTGTCCAACCTTTTGTTGTGTGCTCAAAGCTGGAGTAGGTAGGGGACACAGGCCTTGCCTTTTGAGATCCACAGATGGGGTACAAGAAAACTGTACAGGAGACACAGGACAGAGTATGCATAGGAATTTGGTTTAGATTTTCTATGCTGGGAGACTTGTGAAGAGAGAGGGGTCAGGCAAAGAGGAAGAAGAGAGAGGTTCTTTTTCTATCCCTGCCCCAACCCCCACCTGGACAACATAAACACTGGCCCCTAACTATTTCTAGAAACTTAAATGTCTCTCTTCCCTGTGAGCCCCTGGCCCAGTCCTGTGACATTGCTGGGTGAGTCAATGTAAACATTGTGTTCAAATTGTGAACATAATGTTCTTGTTGCCACCTGGCCAGATGTCATCTTTTCTCACAAAAAAGCCCCAAAGTCACCTCCCTTAATCCATGGAACCCAGAGTTCTGCTTTCCTCCTCAGTATCACCATGTAGGGTAAGGTAGACCCATTTTCTCCAGGAGTTCTCAGTGGTGAAGCCACTTAGTCCTTCAGGAATCACTTTTTCCAAACTCTTAATAAATTATCACTCTGTGGCTAATGTACAGTTTCTAGCTCTGTAAAGCAGGACTTCTATTTATTTATTCTAAATTTACCTCACTCAAGCCTAGGTATAGTGAGGCTTGGAGAGCAAATTTCTGCATGTATGCTATTTGTGACTTTATCTATTTTGGTCTGTATTCCTCCATATTAGCCTTTGTGACTCTGCTTCTTTGACCTGGTCTTCTACAGCAGATGGATCTATCTTTCTTGGATTTCTGCATCCATGGGGAAACTGCTATTCCCATATGGTCATGCCTTAGTTGGGATTGAGCTGTGTTTCAAAGTTCATGTGCTGTGCTTGGGCCTACTGACCTTTAATTTACAGGCAGTTAGTTTTTAAAGCAACAGTATTAAAATCTGGTTTATTACAATAAAATGGAACATTTTAGTTGTATGTGTTGACAAGTTTTGACAAAAATATACACTTGTGAACCACCACCACAATCAAGATACAGGCTACTTTATCCCAAGAAGTTCCCTGTGCTTCATCCCAGTCAGTTCTCTCTATTGCCCCAGCCCTGCCCATGCCAGGTAACCACTGGTCTGCTTTCTGTCATTGTAGATTAGACTTGTCTTTTCTAGTAACTTGCAGCTTGAACAAGCTTGAGGATGTGTTTTTCCAGCCCATTAAGAGAAATACTGGAGACTAGTTACACCGAGAGCAGACAGGTGATAGCAGACAGTTAAGCAGAGAAGCCTGGGTTAACTGACTCTGAACACATCAGCACTGCCCTCTGAGGGAAGGGTTGTTTTAGTACAGCCTGAATACTGGCATCTGTGGGTCTGAGAAAAAAGACTGGGTTGTGTACTTCATTATCCTCTTGTCTCAGTGAAGCCTAATTTGGGTCAGTACTAATTGGGTATGAGATAACCTAGAGGTATTTGAGAAGTTGTCCCTCTCCTCTGGGAGCTCGGTTCAATGAGGGAGACAGGACAAAGGCATATAAAGGTAAGGGAGGATGGCATGAAGTAGCAGTAAGGGTTTAGGGAGGAGGCAAGAAGGACTTGGATGCTTGCAGTGTTGAGGGAAGGTTATGGATGAGTTTGTTTGGGGATAGGGAAGAGTTTAAACTCTATTTATTCATGTTACTGCTCTGATCAGACTTTTTAGTGGCTCTCTGCTACTCTCAGGACAGAATCCCAAATGTCCAATTTGCTTGGTATGGCCTGCAAGGCCCTGCATGGTCCAGCCTTTGCTGTTCATCCTTATTCAGATCTCCCCACTGCTCTGTGAAAACTCTGCATTCCCAGCAAACTAAACTGAACTTCCCTCACTTCCTAGAAGTGATATCTATACTCTCTTTCTCCTCCAGGCTTTTGAAACTGCTGTTTCTTTTGTCTGCCTGGTATAATCTTTTCTGTCTGCTGCCATCTCTTCTACTCTCCCCTGCCATCTCTTCTACTCTCCCCTGCCACAAATCCCTTCCATCTCCTAGTCATACTTAAAGTCTCAGCTTGACCTTCTTATTCTCCTACAAGGATTAAGTCCCTTTTCTGGTAGCAGAATACGGTGATATCTCTACTAGACTATTACCTCTGTTATGGCAAGGATCATGTCTGACTTGTTCATTGTTGATTCCTCTGTACCTAGCACAATACGTGTAGTATATTAAGTTCTGGGAAAATGAGTTGAATATGAATTCTGATTACCTGAGATATTCTTTGGAAATTTTCATCTGAGTGTGTTTGAAAGATAGGAAGGTGAAGTGTACCTGGATAGCGAGACTGTTGAGGAGTGATAGCAAGGAAATGTCACTGTGTAAGTGTGTTTTTCTTGTTTCTCTGGGTTCATGTTTATATCTCTGCTTTGGCAGCAGGGCTGTGTATGATTCAAATTTGAACAGTATTCATGCCTCAAGAACTGGGTGTTGGAGACTAAAAGGTAGAAAATAACAGTGATGTGAATATTTAATAATGATTTATTGTACCTACTCTGGGTCATGTACTAGCTATTGTGTTCTAGCTATTAGTGATATAGCAAGACACAAATATAGCAAGAAACAGTATTATATACTGTTCTAGCTATTAGTGATAGATCAAGAAACAAACACAACAAACAAAAATCCCTCCTCTCGGCTTGGTGCCTGTAGCTCAGTGGCTAGGGCGCCAGCCACATACACCAGAGCTGGCAGGTTCCAATCCAGCCCAGGCCTGCCAAACAACAATGACAATGACAACTAAAAAATAGCCGGCATTGTGGCAGGTGCCTGTAGTCCCAGCTACTTGGGAGGCTGAGGCAAGAGTAGCTTAAGCCCAAGAATTTGAGGTTGCTGTGAGCTGTGATGCCATGGCACTCTACTGAGGGCAACATAGTCAGACTGTCTCAAAAGAAAAGAAAAAAGTCCCTGCTCTCATAGAGCTTATCTTTTAGTTGGAGGTAAATTTTCAATAAACAAGTAAAACATATAGTATATCAAATGGTAATAGGTGACAAGGAGAAAAATAAATCAGGGAAGTAGACTAAGAAGTTCGGGCAACCAGATGATTATAGTTTAAATAGGTAGTCAGGGAGGGCCTCACAGAGGGAAAGTTGAACAAGGACCTGAAGGAAATGAAAGAGCTGGCTATGCAATATCTGTGTATGTGGATGAAGCATACTAGACAGATGGCATAGCAAGTATAAAGTCCCTGAGATGGGAGTCTACTACACAGCAAGGAAGGGTGGGGGAAAGTAGCAGGAGATAAGGTCAGAGAGGTAAATCCCTCTACCCCTTAGAATTAATCAAATAACCCATGGACTATTAAAATGAGTCATGATGGAACTCTATGAATCATAATTTATAATTAAAATGCATGAATTTCAGGGACCATAAACCATGACTAGCTCAAAACATCACTGCTAATGCCCCAATAACAAAGTGTCCTTCCTGAAAATTATGAGAATGCCTCTGGCTGCATGTATACATGTGCAGGAGGAGCTTTGCAGGAGGAGCTTTGCAGCATTGCCAAACATTGCCTGGCAGCCAGGCTTCTTTGTAGAAAACCGAATTAGAGTCTTCTGTCAACTCCAGTTAAAAGCTAATTTTAGTTTATGACTAACAAATTTTAGTACCCCTTTATAACTCAGTTGGTTACCATAAAAAAAAAATCAAAGCCTGGAATTCTGCATCATTCGTCTGTAAAAGCCAAAGAAAAGACTTGTGTTTTGGACCATTTTATAGTCTCTCAGCAGGCCCCTTGGGAGCAATACTTTCAGAAATATTGATATAGATGAAAGGTGACTCGGGGGAAGTGATCAGGATTGGGCACAAGGTCAGAAAAGAGTCTTGTGTGATTCAGAGATTTTGAGTCTGGTGATGAGGTCTGGAATCCCTAAGAAGAAAGGACAGGAGGTGAGCAGAATCTAGGGGAAGTTGTTTTTCTGGATGTCCCAAGTAAGATATCCTCAATCTAGTGACCCTTCTCCTTGGTGTCATCCTTACACCTGTCTTCCTCAAGCCCTAGATATACTCTATCACCCCTTTATCTACTAAATATCTCTCAACTCAAACCACTTTTTACCATATTTACTTCTACCTCCATACCTGAATCTACAATCATCTCTCATGCAGAATGTTGTAACAGCCTGGTAATGACCTCAATCTCTCATACCCTTTCCAATCCATTCTCTGTACTGCATCAAGAGTGATCTTTTCAAACTGCCAATCTGATTATGCCATCTCCCACTCACAACACTTCAGTGACTGCCCATTGCTCTTAGGATAGGAACCAAATTTTTAGATAACCATTCATGGGCCCATATGAGCTAAGACCTGCCTGGATCTCTAAACTTTAACTTGTACCACTCTTCCTCCATTATTTCTATATTTCAGTTTTATGTGCTATTCTGTTTTTCTGGAGCACTCTTCACGCCCTCCCTCCCACATACTCACTCCTAAGATTTTAGCCCAAAAGTCAACCCCCACAACCCACTCCAAGGCTCCCTACCTTTTTACTGAAGATAGGGTTAAGTTTCTTCTATTATATAGACTTATTATTCTATGTTCCTTTCTTCCATAGCATGCATCACAGTTTGTAATTATTCACTTATATAATTATGTGATTATTGTATGTCTCTCCCA